TATATATATATATATATATATATATATATATATATATATATATATATATATATCACCATGATCAATCATACAAGGATTTACCTAAGCATTTTTTATAAGAGAAAATTATGTAACAGAATATGCAGATTCTATTACATGAAAATGTTAACTTACCCTTTAGTACCATCAATAGGATCCAAAACCCAATGTTGGCCATTAGAGCCTCCTTCAGATGTACCACAATCAATGATTCTGAGCACATCAGCTTCGGACAAAGGAGACACGTTGTAAGTTCCATCATTGGCAATAGTATCATTCACTAGCTTGGTGATGCGTCCAAGAGTTTCTTGAGATTCTTCTTTTCGAAGATCTCCCGACTCCTAGAAATGATCAACACCATCAAATTATATTTATTTGAACAAAAATGGAAATTAAATGAAAAAGGTACATGGAGGGGGAACGAATAGGGTTGAGGATTACTTCCTCGGCAACTAGCGAGAATGCCTGAGAAGGAAGTTCCCTTTGAAGAACGAAGCTCACAACAACTTGGGAACCTGAGAATCATATTTGAGCATATAAGGGCGTAGGCTAAAACACCTTTTTGTTATATAATAAAATAAATCAAACCAAACAAACTCAGTATACCCCACTCAAACCTCTTCTTATCCAAATTAGAGTCCATATACAAAAGGAAGTGCCTTTTTCCATCTTCATCTATCTTATTCCTATTATTCGAGGAACCAAATGGAATTGTTTTTGATGTACTACCAAATTCATGAATATAGGCAAATTGTTGAACCATATGAACATTGTGTCTTTGATCATTGTTTCCTATAACTATTATTGTGTCCGTGATATGCAAACCTAACATTTCACATTTGAAGAACACAAAACGAGATCTAAGAATTCCGTTAAGGAATAACTACTAAACTTCTTTAACTATCACAAGTAAAATGCTTTTGAGAATGCTAAGAACCACAAAGTCTCATAAAAATTGAAAGATTTCCTTTTCGCAAACCTTTTGATCTAAAATAATTTATTTTCCCATTACGATCATAACCAATAAAATGAACGATATTCACAAGATCACTCATTCTTGCCAACTACAGCTTTTTCTTTTCTCTTTGCACTTTCAAAGTATAAAGGATGGTTAATACACCAAAGTCAAGTACAAAGGTTAGAAATACCATTTGCTCTACATTCAACCCATGATTGTGAATCATTTGAATGTTGAATCCTTCAAAACACCTAATAATAACAATCGTAGTTTAGGCAACTAGCCCTTTACTCCATCCCAAAATAGACCTAACTTCTGGTTGACCATATAATTCAATAAATTCTATTATTATCGATAAAATATCTTAAAACACCCTCAATAATGACAAAATAAGGGAATCTTGAGGACCAAAATTAATCATATCAACATTTTAATTATCATTAGCAGTTGAAAAGCTAATTTACAATTTAGATTTTGCCGAAGAGAGTTGGATATACTTTGGACACCCAAAAAGCAGAATCTTGTATTTATTTTTGGATAGATGAGGGGTACTAATACCAAACCAAATGAACCCAGTAAATCACATACAAAGTAGTGTTATTACTTCGAACCCAATGAGTAGAGAAGTTGTTTTCATGAAGACCCCTAACTTGTAAAATAAACTCCTATAATGTCATAAGTTTTAAGGGTCACATTTCTCGACCAGGAGCTTACCATCTATGTGTATGCCCTCTATCAAGTCAAATGAAAGCATAGGAAGGTCTAGATCATACCATAATCAGCCACGGTGACGGGACTTTTATCAGATTTCGATTGGACATCAGATTCCAGCAGCCCCTTTTGCACTTTCTACATAAATAAGCATCAATCACAGCATCAGTTTAACCTTCCTGCCATTATCCTAAGATATACAGCTTTGAAAAGAAAATATTTGCAGATTGAATTACAAATCATTTCTAATCAATTTGGCAATTAAATGGAAATTTCATGAAGAAAAGAGATACACTCTCAAACCCTTGTTTACCTTTCAAATTCAAAGACTATTCATCAAAGATTTTGTCATCATATTTATAAAGTCATCAAAAATGAAGAATGTGATGATTGGATTATAAACAACACTCATCAAATATCTATCCTACACCCAAAAAAGAAGGGTATGACAGAACCACCAATAAGAACACAATTTCATTTTCTGGGTACGATTGAATTACAAATAGAAACACTCATCAATTAGCAAATATAGAAACACTCATCAATTAGCAGATAGATGTTACAAAATGCATCCCAACATGGTTTTGTTTAGGTAAATTGACAGAAAGAGAGACAAGTGCCTGGCATAGACGAGCAGCAAGGGAAGCAGCTTTCTTGGCAGCAATAAGTTGTTTATCATAAGACATTGAAACAGCTGATGATGATGATGATGATACGATTGGGGAATATGATGATTTGAATGTGAAGAGTGATTTTGTTGCTGAAAGTAAATTGGGGTTTGATTTTATGGATGGGTTTAGGTGAACAAGTCGGGCGGATGCTATTATAAACGGCGCCATCTCCCACCTCCGGACTGTGCAAAAAGCAGTGCCGCTACCCCCTTCCTAAAACATATTTACACCATTTTAATAATAATAAAAAAAACTTCATAAAACTCAATAGATTTTAGTGTTTGAAATGATCATGGGGTATTTAGGATTGCTTATGAAAATTCGTTATTGACTTATTTTAGTGCGAAATCGGTAATAAGAAATTTTTAATGTTTGAATCGAGAAAAATGAAAAGTTTTACTCTAAAATATAAAGATAAATATAATAATTACTAATTGGTTTTGTCATTTGGTTGACTTTGATTTCAACCATGATTTTCCTTTATTATAATTTTCATTGGTTGGATGGAAATAGTTTTGATTTCAACCATGGCTATACATTTGAAAGACATCTTTTATACATTTGTATACATGTAGAAAAATATTTCACAACTATAAGTTTTACCATTTGATTGAATTTGATAGATTTCAACCATGGTTTTTCATAATTGTATTTTTAATTGTTTGGTTAAGACCCGCAATTTGCGCGATTACATGAATAATTTTAGGTATTAATCTATAATTTATCTATATAAATAAATATTAGTTGGTAAATATAATATCAGTAAACCATATTCATATGATTCCTAAAAATTAATAAAAATAAAGTTGTAAAGCAAAAGCAGATGAGTAATTAATAGATGGACATGTTGATATTTTATGCATTGTTTATATAATTGATGACCTTGTATGGAGTTTTTCTTTTTTTAGAAAGAACACGATACTCTGACAACTGCCTAAACGCTTGTTCACTCTCCGATGGAACATGCGTCAAATGTTAACGTGGAGTGCACTAATCCATAGAGCTAAATAACATTGGAAGCCAACAAGCAACAATTAGTATACAACTTCTTAAGGTAGATAACAAAATATATGAGCATAAGTTTATATAAGTAAACAATCAAAATGTGAATATATGGAGTTTTACCCAATGATAAGGTATTTGAAAGAAGCTCTTCTCCTAAACAAATATATTTAAAGTTTATTAAAGGTGTTGTTTTGTAAAAAATAAGAAATAGTTGTTGGTTTCAGGCGGATCCACAAGAGTTTATAGGTAACAGTTTGTAGAAGGTGGGAGGATGAATACAAACACAACAACTTTCACTAAAACTTATATTGATAAAGAAGATCAATACAGATTTTTACATATTGTTTGCGGAAGAGATAGGATATAGAACCTATCTAAACAATCAAAGATACGCACAAAATTACATATAGCGAGAAGAAAAGACTTGCTACAATAAATAAGATAAGAAGTAATGTGTTCTTCACTTGTTAAAGTGAGTCTTTCTCTTAGACAGAGAGTGAGAAGGAGGAGTATCTTCTTGGTTAAGATAAGATGAGGAAGATGATAACTGAGAAGAGAACTACTCAGCTATTTATACTCAATGCATTAAATGCAATTCCAAAGGTACAAAGCACGTAGCAAGCTTTAAGAGGTAAGCTTGTCCTTTGTTGCAATATACAGTCTTTTGGTCGTATATGAACAACCTTCTTTCATAAAGCAGGTAAGCACGTTTGGAGACAATGGAGTGACTCCATACAATGTTTTACTTTGAAAGGTATGAGTTTGTTCTTTGTGTGTAGAAGGACAAGACAAAAACTATCTTGCTGAACAAGATTCATTTGATCGATGAACACTGGAATGAAGCTGAAGGTCTCATCAGTGCTCGATGAATCTTGCATAGATTTTACACTTGCGTAGACAAACTTGTTATCACTGAAAACCTCTTCAGATCACGAACTTACATGTTAGCATCAATTTGATACTAATAATTATCTCAAAAAGTTTTATTAAGCAATCAGGGCTAAGATTCCATCTGAAGATGCTGTTGTGCCAAAACGTCTAAGTCTGGAAGAAGACCAGCTGCTGTGCTAAATCGACCAAGTATGGACGACCAGAGCCTCTGTAAGAAGAACCAGAGCCTCTGGAAGAAGAACCAGAGCCTCTGTGAAGACTTCAAAACCAGAGCCTCTGTAAGAAGAACCAGAGCCTCTGGAAGAAGAACCAGAGCCTCTGTGAAAAGGCACCAGAACCAGAGCCTCTGTGAAGAAGACCAGAGCCTCTGGTTGTATTGACCAAAGCTTCTGGAGGTAAAGAGGACCAGAGCCTTTGGTTGTATTGACCAGAGCCTCTGGAGGTGAAGAGGACCAGAGCCTCTCTGGTCTGTCTATCCTCTGGTCCTTCAAAACGACTATCATCAGAATCCTATTCTGGATAAGACTAATCCTATTTTGGATAATGCTAATCTTATTCAGATTATCATGAATTACTGCCTATATAAGTAGTGTTTCAGGTAGAGAAAAATGTAACGAGAGCAAATAGAGAATTCTTTGTAAACACATAGATTCAGATACATCTTATGAGAGTCGATTAGGGTTCTTGAGAATTTGTAATTTTCCATTCAATAAAGAAAGCGACGTCAATTTCTATTTCATCTTCTTCTTCTACAAATTTATCTTGAATTTCCTTATTAAATTGTTCTATTGTCATATCTGGGTTTTAACATTACAGGTCTCTAATCTTCAGCTTCTATCTTTGATATCGTTGGCATCTGTGGTGTGAGTTATTTCTTCTTGAAGGATACTGGTCTCTGAACGAATTACAATACATGTTCAACGATCTCCGAATAGACTCGGTGATGATCGCTGAAACTGAATACAGAGATAATACACTTCGACAGATAAAATGGATTATCATCAAATCACTGGAAGAGAGAATCAACAATAGTCATTAATACTTGTATATATATAAATACACAGTAAAAAAGTATAGACTAATAAACAATTTCATAATATGAATTTCAAAAAAACTCCAATTTAAAACCCTTAACACAATTAAGAACCATCTATTTAAATTGACCACAATCTCTAAATAGGAAAACGTATAAGATTCATGATGATTAACTAAAGGGCCGTTTACTTAAATACTTACCCGGTTAGTGTTTATCAGTAGGAGTCAACATTATAATCTATTTTATCAGATAAGATTATAGTATATTAAAACGGTATCGTATGCAACAATTTACCCGGTAAACGCTTACCCGAGTAAGAGTCCTTGCCATCACTTACCGGGTAAAACTCTCTATTCTTATCATCGTTCTTACCGGATAAGACTCTCTATCCTTATCATCGCTTTTACCGGGTAAGATTTTCAGCACTTGCCATATGCATCAAGTGAGGAAAGTTACCCAATCAACACTTACCGGGTAAGTGTCTAATATTAATTGATCCTTAATACAAGTTTATATAGAAAAATGACGACATATTCAAATTAACACCCAAAATTGAAGAGCGTCTTTTTTGGAAAAAGTAAATACGTGAAAATATATCGACGATTTCAAACCACGTAATGCAAACAAATTTTAGAATCATATAAAAATACATAAATACTTAAGACGAGCAAACTTACCACATTAAGCGCGTTGCGCGGATATTAAAAAACGTATATTTTGTTTTACTTGTTTATTTTATAAAATCCATTTTTTAGATGGACTATATTGCAAGTTTATATGTAATATTTATAGTGATGAAATTGCGAGTTCGAAATAATTACTGTTGTCAAATTTATATTGTAAAGATTGATTTCAAACTTATTTAATGAATATATAGTGCTACGAAATATGTGGTATGATGAAAATTATTAGTAACAGTCATAGTTTAATTATTTGCTACTTAGGTTACTACTAAATGATATATTTTAAAATTAATAATTATAATATATTATATGACCTTTAGGTTATTAACTTACCAATAGTATTCATAAAATAACAGATCCAATAATATGATAACTCGTGATTATGAAATAACCAGAAGTATAATGGTATTTAAAAGATTATCAAATGATTATATATCTGATTTAAATTTGATTAACATATGCGTAACTACTAAAACAAATAATAAAATTCTATAATCAAAGTAACAATAACATTGATAGTGTGAAATAGTATTGTAGATAAGGGGCCGTTTACTAAGCACTTACTTGGTAAGTGCTTAATGCCGTAAATTTTCTCATCGGATGAACATGAGAAGGGGCTAAGAATCTTACCGGATAAGATCGATGAGAATGATGGAGAGTTTTACCCGATAAGTGAGGGTGACGATTCTTATCCAGTAAATTGTTGCATTCGATATGTTTTGATGTACTAAAGTCTTACGCATCAAAATAAATTATAGTGTTAATTCTGTTGGTAAGCGCTTACCGGGTAAGCATTTGGGTGAACGACAAGTTCAGATGATGGAAAAATCAAAAGGTAACAAGTGTCATTTGCATAAGTATATGAATTCGATGGTCGAACTATGCAACTTGCATTATAATTTGACTTCAATGTTCTCAAAACAAACACTATTAATTAATATTAATGACCAATGATACCATTTAAAGAACTCAACATTTTGCTTATATATATACACACACGTACATAGGGGAGCGTTCAAATAAAAACCACTCAATTTGTAAAACCGTGAAAACTTCAGTCAACCAATCATAATTTTTCATTTTGTTCATTTTTTTGTAATTATGAGAGATTGATAACCATTTTTATTGTGGAGGGTGTTAATCATGGATATTATCATCTTCATTATTTTAATTTTAGAGAAATATATTAAACAGTTTCATTAAAATTTCATTAAATATTATATGAAACAATTTCATAACCATATATGAAACAAATTCATCAAAAAAAATATTATATGAAACAATTTCACAAGATTAAACAATTTCATGAAAAAATTTCATAAGATTAAACAATGAAATCGATGTATGAGAGTGGTTTATACGGTTTTTACAACTGATGGTGGTTTTCATTAATAAAATTACAATTCTATAAATTTATGGAGGAAGAACATCGATACCGATGAAAAAGAAATTCCACAAAAGTAAAACAATAAAAAAAATATAAACTCTTTCAAACATAAGATATAACTAAGGGGCCGTTTACCCAAATGCTTACCCGGTAAGCGCTTACCAATAGGAGTTAACACTATAATTTATTTATATATGTAAGATTTTAGTACATCAAAGCATATCGAATGCAACAATTTACTAGGTAAGCGCTTACCTGGGTAAGAGTCGTCATCCTCACTTACCGGGTAAGACTCTCCATCCTTCTCATCGTTCTTACCCGGTAAGATTCTTGCCCCTTCTCATGTTAATCCGATGAAGAAATTTATGCGTTAAAGACTTACCAAGTAAGTGTTTAGTAAACAGCCCCTAAAAGTTGTTACATCCATTTTGATTGATCATTCCATTATAACTTACCATTAAATAAACTATAAAGGACTTAATGAAAAGGGGATGAAAGGTGCAAAGAATATAAACTAAAACCAATGAAACCAAAAGGTTTGATACATTAATGACTTAATAAATGTGATCTACCAAAATAAATAAATCACATCATAAAGTCATTAAGTAAATTAAAAAATATTTAAAATCTAAAAATTCAAGAAAAAAGGGTTTTGAATAATATTTTTTTTACATTGTATCACTTAAGCAACTCTATGTTTTGCTTATATATATATTAACTAAATTTATAGAATTGTAATTTTATTAATATTGGATTTATTAAATAAAATGTTTGATTTAATTAAAAAATGTAAGACAAATAAAAAAATAATATTTGTTGATTTATTTATGTTGTGGAAGTAAAATTAATATAAAATGATAAAGAAGATGAGAGATTAAATGAAAAGTTAAAATTCATTTAATGAAAAGCTTTTTATTTAAATTATGAAAAAATAGAAAAATATGAATGAAGGCTTCTTATTGTGTCATCTAAACGACCTCAAGTTTTGCTTTTTATATATATATATATATATATATATATATATAGAGAGAGAGAGAGAGAGAGAGAGAGAAAGAGAGAGAGAGAGGAGGTTTACTTTGTAAACCACGTTATTTGTACAAACCGTACAAACCTCATTCAATCAATCATAATTTTTTATTTTGTTCATTTTTTTGTAATTATGAGAGGTTGATTAATCTTTTTTATTGTAGAGGGTGTTAATCATGAATATTATCATCTTCATTATTTTAATTTTAGAGAAATATATGAAACAGTKTCATTAAAATTTCATTAAATATTATATGAAACAATTTCATAACCATATATGAAACAACCTCATTAAAAAAAGTATTGTATGGAACAATTTCATGAAAAAATTTCATAAGATTAAACAATGAAATCGACGAAGGAGGGTGGTTTGCATGGTTTATACAAATTAAGTGGTTTGCATTTGATCACTCTTCTATATATATAAGAAAGAGAGAGAGAGAGAGATTATGGCACTCAAAGAAAGAAAAAAAGGGAGTTTAAAAGGTGCACAAATAAAGAACAAACTCACATGGAAAAATTGTCTCAATATTAATGTACAAAATGGTAACGGATTTACAAATAAACCTTTGGGAGGATTTTACCAAGGGCAACATCAACTAAAATATTTTAGTAATTTACATTTAAGTCCATGTATGCTTAACTAAACTACTACATCTCATAGCTTCGAATAGGATGCTCCGGTTGCAAAGGCATAATAACTACGGTACTGATACTTTGTGACTCTTGTCCTTGAAGTTGTGGTAGTGTTGCGGTACCACACACCCCACCTGACAAAATCTTCTGACACGTTTCTACGAGGGAGTGTCGACAAGTAGGGCAAGAGGAGTGTGAACTCAACCACTTGTCGATGCATCGAGCATGGAACCCATGATTGCATTTTGGTAGTATTTTGACAAGTTCTTCAGGGACAAACTCACTTAAGCATATCACGCATTCCTTGTCCAATCCAGGTAACGTAAGTCCTTTCCAATAGCGGACAGTTGGGAAAGTTTTTAACGCCTTTTTGTTAAGTCCAATGTTGGCTGACTTGGTTGGTGTGTTTTCTAAGTCAGTGATAGACTCAGAGTGAACCATACTTGAGCACCTTAAGACACACCTGATGACAAAGTTCAATCCTAAGGAACAAATGAGAGCACACAGAAGAACCGACAAAACCATCACCACATTCGCATCAAAGCTTTTATTTCCAGTGACTCGACTCGGTGTTGGTGATGCTGCTGTCTCCTCGACTCCTGTGCGCACCGTCGTTGCTATGTGTTGGTACATAGGAGCATGAAGTAGAAGCTTTCTTGATTGAAAATGRCCCAAATTGCCTTGAAAGAGTACGATGAAAYTAGTCGACATTTTTACTTGTTTTGGGTATAGATCTAGTTTTGGTTCTAAATGTAGACTTCAAAGAGAATCTTATATATAATGGGAATAAAGTGAACTCCACAAACCATGAAAAGCCCATTTCATCTCCACTTTTTTATATATCGATCGCATAAAATATAATAAATCAGATGTTTCAAAGAAAGAACGACCCCACTTTTTATTTTTTTTTGATGAATAATACATACCATAATCGAAAACCCTCGACCTGTCGTTGTTTCGAAGGATTTTTCATGTGGAATTTTATCTCATACTTTTTAATCAATCATTTTGGATCTTCCACCAAGTTTTGTGTATTGCTAATGGATTCTCTAATCAAATGTATCCCACCCACTTACTCCATTCACATAMCCTTTGAACCATTAATTCAAGACTCCATTTTCAAGGAAAACTTAATTATTATGTTGAATTGATTATTTTTTTGTAATAATTAGATTAACCAAACGACTATATTAACTGAACAATACTTTATTGGAGTTTTTAAAATGCGATAATTCTCTTAAATAAATTGCCAATTATAGGTTATAAAATAGGGAAAAAGTTTAAATACCCCCAATGGAATTTAGTGTTTGGAATGATTAAGTAATTGAACAATTTTTTGGAAAAAATAAGTCATTAGACATTTTAAAATCTGTTAAACAACTTCTTGTACATTCTAAAACCTGTTAGATACATCTTTATAACATATAAAACTAATTAATACAGCAAGATAATAAAAATAAAATAAAAAAAACCAATGAACATTCATAATTTTAGCGATAAAGTCCCTAAACATTTAAAAAAAAAGGTACTTACATTATATAAAATAAAACAAACATAACAAAAAAGTACTTACATTTAAAAAAGATTATTGATGAAATTTATTTTAATTAAAAATAAAAGATATTATGTCAATGATTTTTTAAATTAAAAAAWWAAAWAAAWATTTAAAAAGRATTACTGATTATATTTATTTTTAATTAAAAATAAAATTATTACATATATGATTTTTCAATTAAAAAAATAAAAAAAGTTTAAAAATAATTACTGATGGAATTTATTTTAATTAAAAATAAAAATATATTTTATTTTTAATTAAAATAAATTTTATCAGTAATCTTTTTAAATCTTTTTTTTTTTTAATTTGAAAAATCACATACRTGAYATATTTTATTTTTAATAAAAATAAWTTTRATCAGTAATTCTTTTTAAATTTTTTAGTTTGAAAAATCACTGAAAAAATATATTTTAATTTTAATTAAAATAAATTTTATCAAAAATCTTTTTTAAATGTAAGTATTTTTTGTTATATTTGTTTAATTTTTAGATCTAAATACTTTTTGGTTCAAAAAATATTTAGCGACTTAATCGTTCAAAATATGAATGTTCATTGGGTTTTTTTTTCGGACTTTTTCTATTATTTTATCATATTAACCAGTTGTATAGATGATAAGAATGTATGTAGCAGATTTTAGAAAATCCAAGGAGTTATTTAACATGTTTTGGAATGTTCAAGTACTTATTTATTCCAAAAAATTGTCTAAGAACTTAATCATCACAAACACTAAAGTCCACTGGGTTTTTTTAGACTTCTCCCTACAAAATAACACGCTCTATTTTAAAACATTATATTTTATTCTTCTTTTTCTTTTAAATATTAGAAAAACGACTTACCGGTATATTAAACCAAACAAAAACCATAGATCCTATTTAGGGGCTATTTTGAATTGCTTATAAAAACAACTTATTGATTTATTTCGGTATGACACCAGTAAACACTTTTGAGTATTTGGATAAACAACTTATATCGGTGCCAAACTGAAGTTTTTGAAGAAGTTAAACCCTTCTAATTTATAATAAGTTGATAAATGCTTTTATAGAAAAACATAAATTGTTTCAAATAAGCAATCCCAAAACACCCCTTAATTTATTTATTTCAACACAATAAATAAACAACAGTAAATTTCGATTTATCCATACAGACAACTTGATCTATATAAAGTTTAATAGAAAAACAACTGCACAACCCCTTATACTCAAAAGTGTTATTTGTCATTTCAAGGAAATGGAATATTCCATTCCTTATATCATTCGATGTTCATACAAGATTTTACACTCGAGTTTGTAGTTGATTTATTGATACAATAAAGGCAAACTTATTTCCTTCGATTGATGGTCAAAACTTACGCAATTCATAGTTTAAAATGGTTACCATAAACGGGCCAACTTTAACACCATCTAGACTTGTAATCCTGAAATAACTTACAACCAGGGGAGTTCTATTCACATGCCGATTAAATTCAATCCTAGCCATGACAACCGACATTACAAAAACAATGGGTATAATTAACAAAATAAACATTATAATATATATATATATATATACATATATATATATATATATATATATATTAAAAGAAGAACCAAGAGTATTGAACTCATAAGGCTATCTTATGTGAATGACCCTATCTATACTATATTATAAAGCATTTGACAAAAAACCAATTTTTATGCATGAAGTATTGTATATTGATGCATATTACTTAAAATTCAAGATTACAAGTAAATTTATGCATAAGTACAACTTATTAAAGCTTCATGTTTGAATTCGTGTAACTAACTGCGGATAAACATAATCAAATAGAGGATAAACATCTCATTTAAAAATATAAAAAATCTAAAATATAATTAGGAAAATTATCGAATTCTAACAGAATCATTATCTTTATAAAATTTTTATTGTTAAGCCAAAAATAAATTACTTCACTATTTGATCTAAATTAAATTATAATAAAAAATAAATTAAATAAATTATATAAAAAACAAGAACTTTTAAATAGTTAATTTGATATTAATATCGATATATTTTTTCAAATTTATTTTTATTCAGAAGTAAAAACATTATCTTTCTCATAGCCACATAAATCATATTATATCAACAGACAAAAATAAAACGAAATATTAAAAAAAAGATGTATCTCGCTACATTGCACGAGTATCATTCTAGTCTTTTTAAAACAAATCTTATATTGTGTCAACTCATGAGGTTTGAGTCATAAGGTTATCTTATTTTGATGACTCTATTATTTCAAAACAAATCTTATTGGAAGGGTTACAAATGCATTATGAAAATGTAGTATTTTCAATTTTGAAGTACTAGAAGAGTACTCGAGCAATGCAGCGAGACACATCTCGATTTTAATGTTCTATTTTATAATTTGTCTATGTCGATGTGATAATACGATTTTATGTGTTTTTAAGAAAACAATAATGATTTTATTTTTGAATAAAATATAAATTTGAAAATATCATAAAAATTTGAAAAAAAATATATATCAATGTCAATATCAAATAAACTATTTAAAAGTTTTCGTTTTTTATGTAATTTCTTTAATTTATTTTTTTATTATAATTTAATTTAAATTTAATAATAAAATAATTTATTTTTGGTTTCATAATATAACATTTTATAAAGATAATAATTAAGTATTTCGTTAGAACTCGATGATTATCCTAATTATATTTTAGCTTTTTATATTTAAAATGAGATGTTTATCATGTATTTGATTATGTTTATCTACAGTTATTCACACGAATTCAGATATGGAGCTTTAATAAGCTTACGCACAATCTACTTGTAATATTGAGTTTTAAATAATATGCATTAATAAACAGTACTTTACGCATAAAAAGTAGTTTTTAATAGTTTTTGTCAAACGCTTTATAATATAATATAGATAGAGATATTGATGTGGTTCACAAATTTTTGTATATTACTTTATATGTGTTATGATCACCGTGCAATGCACGGTGCCGAACACTAATTCCCTATAAAAAGAAATAGTCAAGTTGAAGCTACAAAATTGTCTTTATCATACGATCCTATGTTTATACGATCTCTTCCACTTGTATATTGTTTAATAAAATTAAATCTTACAAAATTATTATATTACATGAAAACTTATCTACACATATATTGTTTTAATAAAATAAAATCCAAGAAAACTTATCTACAAGTAAGGTATTTGGGATTGTTTATTTGAAACAACTTATGTTTTTTTTATAAAAACATTTATCAACTTATTATAAGTCAGAAAGATTTAACTTTTTCAAAAACTCCTTATTACCGGGTTGGCACCGGTATAAGTTGTTTATCCAAAYACTCAAAAGTGCTTATTACCGATGTCACACCGAAATAAGTCAATAAGTTGTTTTTATAAGTAATCCCAAACACACCACTGAAAACAAAAAGTTTAGTGCAAACATAATCTAGAAATCTTAGAAGATCACCCCTTTTATGGTCGAAAATTAGAAGGACGTTCACATCAATTGCACTTTTCTTTTATCAAGTTGAAGTCTCTTATCCATGGCATTATGCACTACTTCACCAAGTGTATCAACAATTATTAGAAAACAAAACCCTTTTTACCTTTCTACTTTATAAAACATTAAACACATAATTAAATACATTTTTAATCATTTACATAGAATTTAATCAAGTAATCGTATTCGTACGTAACCAAACGCACCCGTTTAGTTACATTCAGAAAGTAGAGTTTGGAGGGTGTCGAATGTACACAAATCCTTCCTTTATTCACCCGTATATACGAGTAGAGATCGATATTATTTTCGTGAAGGTTTTCAGCTTTCTTTGGTTTCATAAATTGAACAATTAATAAAATGAACCCTTTTAGATTTCTAAACCCTCTTTTTATTAGTTGTTAAATACGAGGATAACATTTTAAATGACGCAAATTTCTAGGGAGATTTAGGATGATTATAATGTATATGTTGTTGGGAAATTGGCCTAAAAGTTTTTCAATAACCCGAGCGATGACAATTATAGAGAAATGAAAACGACAAGAATTAACGTGGAAACTACAAAACTGAAGAACAACTACATCCCTCATAAGAATGGAGACATTGTTAGCATCTAATTTAGAGTCTTTCGCCGAACCCACTCCACTTGTACAATTGCTCTTGACATGCCTAGACTGTTCAGACTTCCAACATTT